AAGGTTCATACACTTCTAGAGACATAGTATTCTATGATTCAGCTCTTTTCCTGCTTTCCCATATTCATCCTCTCTCCTTGCTCCTAGGTGCTCTCATTTTGTCTTGATCGCCACAAACTTCTTATTTCAATTAGAAGAAAAGTGCTCATTCATAAATTTCGCACCATGACAGCATGCAAAAAGAATCAATTCTAAAAAAAAAAACAATGAAACAAAAGGCAGCTGTTGTAAAAACCACTTGTGTCCAAATAAAGGTGAAGGCAATTTTTTCCTAGTATTGTTCTTATTTGCTTTTCCAAAGGGAGGTTTCACCTTTTCATCTTCCTTAGTAAAAATAAAGGCGCAGGTCCTCTTGCATACTAATGTATATAAAATACTATTTCCTCTTAGATCTTCCCTTGAAGAATTTTCCTTGGTCTTTTTGATTTCAGACATGATAGTAACAAGACTAATCCACCTCCACTTTCCACAGAGTACCATAGCCCAACACTGCTCGGGGCTGTTTTTTGATGAGGTTTTATAAAAACTACACCATGCACATACCTGTTCGGAGAAAGCAGAGACTGACAACGGTTAAGCTCTTGAAATGAAACTTCCATTTCTGTGACTGACAACAAGCAGAGCCACAGAGCCGAGGCCTCTGCAGCAGCAGCCCACAAACAGGCATCCCAAACTCTCTTTACTGCCCAGGACAGTAATGACTGCTTGACTTTTTCCAGATTTTTCTACTTATTTAACCACTCTTCTTTTGCCCAACCAAGACACAATTTGGTTTGTAAAGCGAAGGACACAACACAAGACATCATCCTGTTCACCATATGCAATGAAGGCATGTAAAAATCCCAGAACCTCCACTTCAGTGCAACTGCTTCACACTGAATATTGCTAGAGATGTAATAAAGATCTTGAAGGATTATCACTGAAGAGTATCCGAAGATATCACTCAGGACATCTTAAGGATTCAGATAATGCCTCTTCTATCTCTGACTGAAGCAAGTCATAGAAGTTCAATCCAATTATTGTTTATACATTTTTTATCAACTATGATGAAAAAAGTCCTCAAAATTCAAAACTGGAGTTACCCTTTTTCAGTATCCAAACTCAGCAGAGATGATCTGGAGAGCAACACAAAAGCTCTGCATTGCCTCTATACCCACTGCCTGATCTGGACTGTGGAAAGATCCAAAGCAAATCCAGCCCAGTGTCATGAGCATTTCACCATTTGACAGTATTATCAGTAAACCTATACAATTTCAATATATAAATCTATAAAATTTGTGCAAGGGAATAAATTATTTTTAATATCAGGCAGCATAAAAAAGTGGAAGTGACAGAACTTTTCACTCAGGTAATAGGTACCGAATATGTAACTTCTCGGCACTTAAGCTACTGGCCAACCAACAGAGCTTGCTCTCAAGATAATGAAAATGCACTGAAGCTAAAGAGAGAACTTGAGTAGCATCTAACAGAGTCAGACAGCCAAAGCATTATAGTCCAAGCTACCGTGACCTAGTAAACACATTTATATTCCTTACAGAGAAGTCTCAGAAACTGACAATGCTTTTATCGTTGCAGTTTCAAAAACTATGGGAAGTTACCAGTTCCCTGACACACGAGATCACTTTGAGTTTCCCATTATGAAATAAACTATTGCCATGAAAAAAAATAATTTTGAAAATAAGTAATTGATGCCAGTGAGACCAGTTTTCATTAACTTACTTTAAAAATTGGATTTTTGCAGGCAGAAATTTTCAGCCTTGAGTTAGGAAATATATAGATCTGTGAAGACACACACACAATTGGAGAGGTTTCCTCTGAAGAGATAACAAATCTGTGCACAGGATTATAAGTACATAAAGCCAACCCTTCATGTTTAACACTTGTGAAAGAAACAGCTAATAGTCATGAGCATGATCAATACTCTATCTGTTCAAAAGAAAAACTGAGCTCTTAGAAGTTTCCACAGTTTTGACTTTTAAGCTGGTTCTTTTTGCTGAGCAATAATTGAGATGGTTTTTCATCAAGTCACTGTTAAAATGAACACTGTAGGCAAAAATATATTTAGTTTGGAAATCCATATTATTTTACCGAAGTACAGGCTTCCATTAGAGACATCCATGCAGCATGCTCAGAACCTCCTGCTCAGGGACCGTGTTGTGCCAAGGAGAGGAGGAGAAATGAGGAAGAGGAGGAAAGAGCATAAACAAGACAAGAAAATGAATTCAGGAAGCTGCTGAAGTTTTGTCTTAGCTTCAGGATTGGGCGTAACACCCACTGTGTTCTTAATACCTTCACATTTTATGGGTAATATTCTGAAAAAGGTAGTGGTGCAGATGCAAATTACACCTCACTTTGAGGCAGAGCACCCCTCTGGAGAATAAAAGGCAGAGCTTCACTGTGCTGCATGCAGGAATAAAGCAGCTTTAATGCAACGGTTCCATTCAGCACCGAGGGCAAGTGCTGAATGAGTGCTCTTACCAGATCCTCTTAACAATCTACTTTCCAGGACTGTCTAATGCTTGTCCTCCGTTACAAGATCTCTTGATATAATTTATGAGGTGGTAATTTTCATTATCCAAATCTTATTTCCCCTTTCCTCCTCACAAATTTCCACTGAAGGGTCCGTAAAGCCTGAGTCCACCCATTGGTGTAATGCCCAATTTTGGAAATTTATGTTTAAAAAGTACAGCTATGTTAACAAGAAAACAAGGCTGCTTTCTGGTTTTTTTTAGAGTTATGGAACAGTAAAACCACATGCTGAACTGAACTTTTTCAACCTTTCTGTGTTTAAGAAAAAAATCCAATGAAAATATTTCATTTTGGATATATGTAAGAAAAGTGAAGGAAATTTAAAAGTAAGTAAAAGGAAAAAATAGGAAGATGAGAAGGACAGAGCTCTTTTACCTATAAGGGATTTCCCTTGGATGTGAGGATAGAGGTCCACTTCCTACCTCAGCATAAAACCCAAGCACAGCAGTGTGTGTTAAATACCCCACTCAGAAATATTCTGGAATGCTTTGCTCTCAATCTACTTTGTTAATGTCACATACTTGGAATAAATAATGGAACTGGGGCTAGAACCAAGCTTTTCTACTTCTCTAATGACTTAACTACTCTGCCCTGCAGGGTAGATTTCTCACTGTAAGTTTTATGAAGCAACCTAACACACATTCCCATAACTTTTTCCAGCCAAAACTATTCAGCACATCTATCCTGAATTCACAAATAGTTTTGCAAGCACCAAAGTTACATCAACCCAACTAATTTACTGCTTGCTGAATCAAATCGCTGATGCTATTTGCAACTGTCTCCACAGTGTTCCCAGAACTCGCTGCCAAAAAGAGGAGGGAGCTGAAGGAAGCAGAACCCAACACCTGTTCTTCGTAGGCAACTTTGCTACTTTAACATCACGACTGTAATTAAGAAGATCAGTTTGGAGCCATTCTGCCTACAGATTTTGAATTCTGTAAGGAAAAGTAAAGACATACCTCTCCCCTCAACAATAACCGCTACCAAATCCTGTGACAGTTTCGCCACAAATAGAAGAAAGAAAAATCCTATGAATAAGCTTTTTTACTTCTATCTACAGTTTTAAAATTGTTTTTCTTTCAACAGCTCTCTGGCTCCCTGGAGAGTATTATTGGATACTCATCTAAATCACTCGAAAACTCTGCCTCACCCTGGCTGGACCAAGGAACTGAGCCACTGTTTTTGTGATTACTGAGGACAAGTTAGTCTCCAGCCAGTGCAATGAAAGCAACTGATGTTTGTACAAGTCTCTCCTAGTTCTCCTTGGGGTAAGCACATCGACTTTGTAGCTTTTTTCTCTTTTTTTTTTTTTTTGTTTTTTTACTTGTTACTGAAAAATCAGAGAACAAATGAGAGAATATAAAACCTGCACAATCTGTATGAGCACCACTTCTAAACTAAGCCATACTTAACATTACAGTACTTTGATATCCCATGTGATTTGTAAATCTTAAGGCAAATGTACCACAATTATGACAATACTATCAAAAAATATAACAGCAAAAAGAAATAGCAATATCCACTCTCCGCTCCTAAGCTATCAATGTTCTAAGGATAGTAGTAGGAATCCTTATTCAATTAGGACAGGACTTGAAAGAACTCAATGGACCATGTATAAAAGAAAAATGTTCTTTTGAAAAATGTTCTTTTCCACAAAAAAAGTTCATCTACCATGACTGAGGCATATTTTGGAACAAGTGAGATATTTGACTTTAAGAAAATCCTGAAGAGAAATAAAGCATCATCACCTTTGCAATAAGAATGTTAGACATTCACTGTATCTGTGAAGCAACTAATAAGCAAAGCCTGAACAAGCTACCACTTTGATTTTAAAATATTGAAAGAAAACATGCAATTCTCAGCAAATTAAAAATACTGAAATCCTAACATGCACTACAATAGGTGAATAATCACATAAGAAAAAATAAATCTTGATCTGAGCTTTAAAAACTCACTAATAAGGTAATTGACAGCATTTTGGTATATATCACAATAAGTTTTCTGTTTCAGGAAAATAGGTATTTTCAGAAACACACTATTTCACCTTACATTTACAAATGCATACACATTTTGAAAGAGAATATGTGCACAGATAAACACACTGACTCATGGATACATGCATCATTTCTGTTATTTATGTAAATTATATATACTGTATGCTCTGTTCCTTTAAACTCTAGCATACAGATTACACAATCTGCCCTCAAAATCTACAACTGTCAAAAAGCAAATATACAGCTTTATCCAGCTGGACATTATAAATATACTAGGCACCCTCATACAGCTTATGTAAATAGAGACAAAGACATGCTTGTGTATTCATTTAAAGAACTACAGCTTTTGTATTTTAATTATTCCTGCTAGCAAGAAACATACAAGGGATTGCACCACCCTTCTGCATGGCATCCTATGTAAATGAGTCCAGTGCATTTATAAATATGGATGTGGTAGACCCCCAAACAACACAGTACCTGCTGTCTATCCAACCGCATCCTTTTTGCAGCATTTCTGCTTTCACTCTCACAGGCGGAAGCCAGGATACTCTCTGCAACTGCTGAAGTAAGGTGTGAGGGAATAGGTCGTGACTATGAAAGAAAAAAGAAACACAGAAATTATTTCTAGCATAATCCACGATATCCTTTTTTCAAAGCACACAATACCGTCACCTAGGCAGGGAAGTCCGCTCATTGAAATGTAGTTTATACCAACAAAACAGGGAAATGGAACTTGTAAAGATGAAAAATGAAACTAGTTAGATGTTAAAGCCGCAGCTGATCCATAGATCCATGAGAAGCCCTTTCCCCCCACAGCTCTATTGTCCAGTGTGTTTAGTCTGGCTCATTAAGCTGTACTTTGAACAGACAGTGGCATATTCTCTGCGTTCCAGCAGCACCCTGGCCGTCTGATTCTTGTTAAGAAAACGGAAAGGCTTTTTATCCTGTACAGCATGTGACAGAGATGAGTAGTGGTTTTTTATAGTCATAAAAAAACAAAACAAAAAACCCCAAGTGATAGGGTTGAAACATCACTCAAAACATAACAGATTGTCAGAACACTTCAGAGCAGTCTCAATCTGTAGTATATGAATATTTGCATTCCTTGCTGCAACATGACTGATGTGATTAAAATGACTTAAAAAAAAATATGTTTTTCTTTTGATAATGCCAGCCTTCCAACAATGTACATATTTTGTGGTTCAACTAGATACGGTTCATTTTTTCTGATTCAAAACCTCTCATTGCTAATTTTAGAGCATTTACATGTTTCAGCTTAAAGGTGCAATGAATCCCCAAAAAACCAAGGGAATGCTAAAATCCATTGTTGGTTATGAACTCCAATATTGTCTTCCCTACCAGTGCATTAAGAAGAATATTTACACACTTTTTTTTCCCTAATTACATGCAAAACAATTTTTCTGAAAGATGAAGCTCACAATAAAACTCATCTTCTTCATTAATATACAAAGATATATCTGAATTACCAAGAAAATATAGAAAATGGGTATAATAACACAGATACTGATATACATACAAACCCATTCCAGAGACTGCAACTTATTGAACTGGTTGTGAACTTCCATAAATTTTCAGAGCTTCAGGGAACTCAAAAGTGCTATATAAATTTATGCGTACTGAGGAACTGGCCGTATATGTGGAGGTTTTGGGGTGTTTCTGTTGTTGTTGTTTGATTTTTTGGATTTTTTTTAGAGAGTTACACCTTCTTAGTCCTAAAAGCATAAATATGAACCTGCTGTGAAATGTCACTGAGTTTTGGAAGCAAGTTTTGAAGTATTCCCATTCAGTTCTTAGACAACCTTAGAACAGATTCATTATGTTGGCTCAACTGATTTTATGGTTTTTATAACATTCCAGAAACTGAGGAGCCAACCATTACAAATATTACATTTTTACCTTTAAGAATTAAACTCCATTTATTGACTTTGGATGTGCTCTGCAGAATGCCAGTTTTTTATCTGACACTGTACTTTCTCTAATGCATGGGACCACAGTCTGTTTCGGACCAGAAGCTGAACCAGCTTTTAGAGATAGACAGGGATTTATGGGTCTCCCTCACTAGTGCAATAGGTTTATTTCTCCCCACTCATCCAAGAGCAAGCTCTCTGGCATCAGTGTAACAGCTATGTAAGAAAGACAATCAGAAGCTGCAACACAATAAAATATACTTGGATTGATTTGACAGAACAAATTATTGAACTTCTTTCCAGTTTGCACAATAATGCATTCCCATCCACTTTTGAAAATAAATCAGTCTAAGAGATGAGGGACACTGATGTTAAACCCTGCTGTCGTTACAGACGTTAACAGTACAGTACAAGCAGACACCTTCCTCGGAGCTCCAGAGGAGGGAGGAAGTCTTTGCAGAAGGTTTTCAATGACAGAGCATTATATTTATTATTCTGCCTCCCTAGAATGGTGATGTTACTCTGAATACATTATTGCATCACTTAGCCACACTAGATCCCTCCCTCTATTTGGTGGCCAAGTATCACTGTACATGCTACTGGTTTATGTATATTCAAGGTACATTGGCTACGTTGGCTGAATGGAAGTCTCGGTGTGGTCCTCTAGCAGTGGCCATACAATGAGGTTCTTGAAAATGGCAAGTAAACACTTGGATAATTCCTCCAGCTCAGGGCTTTAATTAGAGCTATATCCTTACCTATACATCAACAGATTTTTAGAAGGTGACATATGAGCCAAAAAATTAATTTTCTTAACAAAAAGTAAAATGAACGCAAGTTACTCCAGCTGCTTTGTTTATGGGAGAGAATAGGTTTATTGAAGTGTTTTATAAAATAAAAAATAAAGAGTTACTATAAAAATCAAGCAAGCAGTCATGCGCTTTTCTCTGAAAAGGAGCGCGGTAGTTATGTGTTCACTGTTGAAATATTGAACTAAAAATTAGTACCTGCAAAAATGAGGAAATCTCCAAGTAATGGAGTATCTTCCTCTTGAAATGTGTGTTAACCCATAATTTCTCTCACTCATCACTGCAGCTGGCTGTTGATATGTTCATGTCAAGAACTATCTAGAGTGAACCTTAGGGAGAATGTAATGAATGCATGGTTGAGTCACCTGGGGAGTAAAATACTGTAACAAAGCACAGGAGAAAAATCATCTGGTTAAGGTTCAGGTTCTATCAGCTTAACTCAGGCAGAGCACTAGTTTGGCATTGACTGAGAAGACGAATGCAGTCCTCTGTCACTAGCAGCAGAGCTGTTAAAAAGATTTTTCTGTTCCATGAAGTGCCATATCTGTGAAATGTCAAAAAGATCAATTTTGAAAAGCCTTGCCTAAGAGGAAAAAAATGCTTTGAAATAACCACTTTTTAAAAGATGTTTTTAGATAAACTGAATTAATAGCCACATCTTCTAAGCTCAGAGTCCCCTTCTGGCTTAGCTTAACTTCTTCATCTTCTATACTTCTGATTATTCATGATCTCTCTCATGACGACCAGCTATAAAAGCATGTCTGTAAGAAGCTCAAGCATCCCAGTCCTTGTGGGGTTCTGAACATTTCTCAACTCCCTATCCGAGGGTGAGACACAAAGGCCTTGGGAAACATGGCAAAAGCAACATCATTCAGTTCTGCAGAAGGGAGCCTGCAGATCTCAGCCAAACCAACGTCTTCTGGGTTCCCAGGACCCCTTCTGCAGAGCTGAGAGATGGTTCCTTCCTGCGTGTTTGGGACTACAGCAGGAAATGTGGGATCCAAGGAGTCCTTATTTCCAAGGGCTCCCAAGCTCCCTCTGCAATCCCTGGATCCACAAACTGCCCGCTGGACTAGCAGGAAACTAGGTTTCATTTTACTGGAGTATGTCAAAACAGAAAACCTTTGTCAAACTAACATTTCTTAAAGGAGAAAAAAATTCCTGACCAGCTGTAACTGGCAGAATGCACCTCGTGTTGTTTGATACATAACTTTCACAGCTCCAGTCTGGCATTTCTTTCACTTGACAGCGATGTAAAGCAGGAAATAACTATACTGGAACTACCCATGTGTAAAACAACAGAAAAGAAGCAAGCCTCTAAACTTCAGTCTACCAAACAAGCAATTCATATGGCAAAATTAGAAGGCAGGATAACATTTTTGTCGTTTTGAAACAATGACAGATAGAAAAGAGGCATGTGAAAATTTTATAGTGACTTTCAGGTGAAGAGATGAATAAAACGTAGAGGGAATTTGGTAAACAGCTTAACACAGACCTTCTGAGAAGACTACATGCCTCTGTCCATCACACAGCAGCAGTATAAAGAATTCCTTCGTATTTACTTGGCAACACAATACTGCTTGTGACTGCACTAAAACAGCAGCCACATTTTGAACAAACATCGTTTTTTGGTTTTGTACGTCTCTTCAGCTGACATGCAACCAACATTCAGCCTCTAACACAATGTAGATGAAGAGCACTTTGACAAAAGATGTAAGGGAAACCTGCTAGATTTCATGTATATTCGGATGCCTCTGTTTTTAACATCTTTTGAAGCAACTGATATTCAGGAAGTGGCTGAAATTCCCTCAGTAGCCCAAGGGAGATGACCAACCACCACCAGTCCTCTCATATTTGAAACTGCATTTCAAGGCAATTTAAACCTGATTCTTGAGACCACCACAGAGCCTGTAGATAACAATGATGACAAAGCAACAAGCACACTTAACCACCATATTGGACAGGAACATTTGCATGGTTTTAAGAGAAATCATTTTTGTGCAAATTGATAGGAGACTTCACACACTCATCCCTTTATCTCTTTCTGAACAGTGTACAAATTATTGACAGATATACTTATGCAGATTTCTTAATGAAAAATCAAATTAGCCGATACTCCTCTGTAGCCAAATAACTGTTGGTCTGCTTTAAAGAACATTAAAGCTAATGAAGATCCTTCCATGGCTTTGGTGGTCTTTAGACCTGGCTCTCAACAATCGAAGTGTCGCACAACAAGCCTTTCTGGAGTTATGGAGTAGTCCTGCAAGGTTGTTGATTTTTTAGTAGTTGAAATCAGAAATCCTTGGCCCAGATTCTCTAGAAATTAGCTCTATTAGTAAAATCTCTGATTCTGTAACATAAAGGAGACTAGCACTTTCAATATCCTGTAAAATACCTATTTGCAGTACACCAACTGTATACAGTATCATCAGGTCTTCTGTTTAAAGTAAGGTACCTTTGCAGCATCTTCATGGGAAACATAAAATACCCTTTTTGGCATATTCACACAATTCCTGTATTTCTATACAGAATCTAAAAATCTGCCGTACAAATGTACATTTTTGATATACATCAAAATTATTGATATAATTGATGGATTATATTTCAGTCTAAACCACTAGGAGCAGTATATTCACCAAAAAGAAGTTTGCAATCTGCTGTACATGCTGTCCTCCTGTGGTTAGAGATCTGTTGTCTCTAAAGTTACTACCTTGGCAATTTTTGTGAGATCCAGTATTTGCTTACAAACAAAAGCCAAAGGTGTCATGGTCTAGATACTCTTATACATGTTACACCAGTCTGACTCAGTTCAGCTATTTATTATGTCAGATAATGGACACATATGCACACCTGC